ATTTTGTAAAACCTGGGTGTACATTTCCCTTCCGTTTGATTTTATGCAGTTTATAAATCATGTGTGACATTTCTGTAACATCGAAGGACACTATTATTATGTAGTAGCTGTTTCAGTGTGAGTGTTATTGTTATGAATGAACTTTTTAACGTTTTCTGCGGCCTTTTTCGTTCCAAAGACCACAAAAAAATAATTCTATCGACGCTACCTAATTTACGTATGACGTATCTGGACGTAGTAGATACATTTATGTTCTTTTGCGTAAAAATTATCTCTTTGACTCTTTGAAACAATGTGCGATATTTTTTTATTTCAGTTCGACTTACTTAAAAAAGAAATTATTGCGTATTAAAAAAAGTTTAATTTAGATCTGTAATAATGTTCTGCAATGAAGATCTGTTGTAAACTTACCTAAGCATCGCAAAAACAAATATATCAAGCTTATAAAAATAGAGCAGGTCAATTTATTTTATTTGGAACAGTTCGATCTATTTGAACGAAATCAGATTTACGAAGAAGGTGGGCTAAAATAGAATCCAAAGGACTGTTATAGTACAACTTCTTGCCACACAATCTGTGGCTGGCTTTTTAAAATTGCCCTGCGTAACTTAAGATGCAGCTAGGTATTAATTTGTATAGAAAACTGAATTTTTGTGCAAGTTGTGGTTGAAAGTAGTAGTAGATCAGGAAATTCAAAAGAAAATAAATGTTTTTTTTTCGATTTTGCTCAAGGTGTATTTTTAAAGAAAAGGTGATTGAAACCCAAACATTTCCCATTTTCTACAGTGCCGTGACCCGCTACAATTTCTTTATAAAGAAAACAACGAAAAAATTCAATAGAATGGGAATATTTGATACTTCTTTGCCTTTTAATGAAACGCTTATTTTGGCTGCTGTAGTATTTTATTGGATGGAAATTTTAAGAAGAAAATACAGAAAGAGAGAGAGAGGAAGAAAAAACTGCTTTAGGATGCTTTAATTATTTTGGCCCATTTATTTATCATTTTTACGAGATAATACTGGCGATCTTTTGGGAGATTTGTTATTGTCCCTTTCAGGAGAGGGCGAATGACTGCCATCATTTCCTGATCCTGATGGGTCCTTGGAAGACGCCTTTAGACGTATATTTGTATCCAAGTGACGAAATCTAGAAACAAAATCCTTTCAACTTGGCCAATTTTACACCAAAACTCCCTTTACCGAATGGGGACGTTACTCGACGACCCTTCCTCTCCAGCCCCTTGAAATAAAAAGGCTAATGGCCAACTTATCCAAGATGTACTCCTAAAACAAAAATAAGCAAATAAAATTTAAATAGTTTTAAAAGTTTTAAGCGGGTACTTACGGTGTTACCTAAAATTAAACAAAAAATTATGCGATTTACTTGTATTTATTTTACTTACGGCGGTGGCTGCACTGTGACATTTTCGGAAGACGTTTCCGTCTCAGAAAGTAATCTTCTTGATGCGAGGGCCTTTGCAATTGAAGGGTTGTAAATTTTAGGGTCGCTAACCATGCGCACGAAAAACGAACGCTTATATGCCAGAACTTCTTTCCTTTTACGTTCCACAACTTCAGAAATTTCATCTTTAAGTTCCTAAAATATGTAATTACATAGAAAAAGAAACATCTCATAGTTTGACCCGCTTGTGGGACAATTTTTAATTCTTTTTAATAGAAAACGATATATATCAGTAAACAGGTAGTTACCTCTTCCTTTTCTATAGCTTGACTTTCCAATAAATCAGAAGCAAATTCTTTTATAGTATCCCATGCATAATCTGAAAGAAATCAAATTAAGATCTTCAAATTTATTGGCCAATAAATTTTATCGTTTATGAATTTACAAAACCGCTACGTCTTTTCATTCTGATCGTAAAAATCCAATATGTTGGCCAAATTTCAATTAATAAACAGTATCTGCTAGTAGAATTAACGTTAGTTATAGTATGTTCTAAGTGATTAGAATGAACTAGAGAAAAGTCTTATTAATCTATTTTGGCTTTTTCAAATTATTGTATATTTGAAAAAGTTAAAATTTCACGTTACTTCCTACATTATATAATCAAGGATTCATTTTGGCATTTTAAGAGTAAAACTTTAGGAAGGGACGGAAATTGCGCACGCAGCAACGCAAAATCGGCAACGGAAGTTGAGCAGTTGTTATATACATATAATAATGTTCTACTGTATGGATTGGCTTGTTTGCTTGTCCATAATTTTGCTAACCTTGGACAAAACATTGAAAGTTGCGTGAAATAGAACAAATTCGACCGATTTAAGAAATAAGGCTTTATAAAAAACTTAAAAACGCTTAAAAGAAACGTCTTTACCTTGTCATAGTGATCTATAGAAGTAGGATATTCCTATTATCGTAAAAAGAATAATTTTATTTTTAATGTATGAATGATAAAATGAAATATTCAATTATTTTTGTAAGACTTGCAGGCTCATTTCTCACTGAGTAAGACCGAGAAACTGACATTGTTTAATAGAATATCCTTAAAAGTGTTGATAGAATCCATCAGCACATAAAAAACTTAATTTTTTTACCAATGTCTTCATCAGTTGCATTTTGCGCAACAACGCAAAATCTGATGACATATTTGTCGCGAACTGACGCTGGGACCATATGAAGTTTTCCCGAAGCGTTTATATTGCTAAGAAGTTTTTCATTCAACTTATCATTGCCTTTCAGGCGAAAGCACACCAGACCGAGCTGAAATAAAATAAACAATTCGTACACATGTAAATCTTTGTAATACAATACAAGTATTTAAAATCTAAATCTATTTTTAAAAATTGCGAAAACGTAATGACTTAATATAAATTACATTATTATTATTACAATAATGAAAAGTCGCCCTTCATTTGTCTGAAAATTATAAACACTTGTTTGATTTTTTGGATTTGCCTATCAAACAAAAAATGAAAATGCAATCTTTATTTTTTTTTACCTTAACTTCATTACAAATTTCGAACCGCCTATCGCGCATAACCATAAGTTCGAACTTTTTGGCCAGTCGAATGTGGTGTCGAATGTAATTTTTCAGACCAGATATACCGTAACATCTCATAACGAACCAAAGTTTCAATGAGCGAAATCGTCTACTGAGGGGAACCCCCCAGTGTCGATAATCGATTGCAGTATTACTGTAACCATGCTGCAAATACAAAGGGTCCACCACGAGAGCCGAGGTAAGTCGATATCTGTCCTTAACCCACATGGTAGAACAATCGAAATTTACCAACAACCACTTGTTTGGATTTGTATTAAAAGAATCGGCATATTCGACACCTAGATGACAACAATGATGGAACATACAAAAGAATTTGTCCCTAGAAAGATGGATGAGTACCTTTAAGTAAATGTTTGAGTTCTGGGCAGATAAACGCATTTCCTGCGTATGCTGCATCGACATGGAGCCACACTGAGGGGAATTTTTTGCAAATGGGCCCTATTTCAGAAAGATTATCGAACGAACAGCAAGATGTTGTTCCAAGAGTGGTTGAAACAAAAAAAGGTATCAAACCCATTGTTTCGTCTTCTTCCATTGCCTTAAGGAGAGTGAAAAACATTCAAAACTGACAAAAATCTCTCCCCCAAAACATTTCTAGCGTACCATTAGCAGAGTTTGTCCCCTAAGCGATGATTTTTCATCGGGCTCTAAAATTCTCAGTTTCACGAAACATATCATTGCAGCTTTTTCAACACAAGAATGAGCTTCTTTTGAACAGTATGCCATCAATTTGGACAGTAGTAACCCCTCTTCTACAAAAGGGTGCTGCTGTTTCAAGCGTTTTAAAGCTTGAGCCCTTGCTGCTAACATAGTTACCAATACACATTCACNTTAGTTATACAATACAAGTAGTTTAATTGTTTTTTTTATATAAGTGGGTTGTTTAGTGGACGCCCACCACTGGTCAGTTTTTTAGTTGAACTAAAAAACTTTCATTAAAAAAAATGGGAAATTTATTTCTCACAATTAAATTAATGAATTAAAGAGATGTTTCTTTCTATTTATAGGTATCTCTGAAAGGGATTGGAAAACAAAATTCTACGTGCAAAAATACAAGTATAACTTGAACATATTTTAATTGTACATCCTGTTAGATTAATTTTGTAAAACCTGGGTGTACATTTCCCTTCCGTTTGATTTTATGCAGTTTATAAATCATGTGTGACATTTCTGTAACATCGAAGGACACTATTATTATGTAGTAGCTGTTTCAGTGTGAGTGTTATTGTTATGAATGAACTTTTTAACGTTTTCTGCGGCCTTTTTCGTTCCAAAGACCACAAAAAAATAATTCTATCGACGCTACCTAATTTACGTATGACGTATCTGGACGTAGTAGATACATTTATGTTCTTTTGCGTAAAAATTATCTCTTTGACTCTTTGAAACAATGTGCGATATTTTTTTATTTCAGTTCGACTTACTTAAAAAAGAAATTATTGCGTATTAAAAAAAGTTTAATTTAGATCTGTAATAATGTTCTGCAATGAAGATCTGTTGTAAACTTACCTAAGCATCGCAAAAACAAATATATCAAGCTTATAAAAATAGAGCAGGTCAATTTATTTTATTTGGAACAGTCCGAACTATTTGTACGAATCAGATTTATGAAGAAGGTGGGCTGTTTCGAAAATGAAAGGAAAATCGCTACAAAAGAATCCGAACGCGTATTATATTATATCTTCTTGTCACATAATATTTAGCTAGTTTTTAAAAGTGCCCTACGCCCTGCGTAATTTAAAATGCAACTAATTTATACAGAAAATTGAATTTTGAGTGGTGAAAATCTAAATATTTTAAGAACTAGTACATTCTGCAGATCATGAATTTCAAAAGAAAATAAATGTTTTTTTTACGACTTTACTTAAGTTGTGTTTCAAAGAAAAGGTGACTCAAACCTAAATATTAATGTGATTCGCTACAATTTCTTTATAAAGAAAACAACGAAAAAATTCAATAGAATGGGAATATTTGATACTTCTTTGCCTTTTACTAAAACATTTATTTCGGCTTGTTGTCCTGTTTAGCACTCGACGAATGACTGCCATCATTTCCTGATCCTGATTGGTCCAAATGAGGAACACTAAAAACAAAATCGTTTCAACTTGACCCTTTTTACACCGAAACTCGTTTTACCCTTCTTCTTCAGTCCCTCTAATTAAATAGGCTAATGGCCAACTTATCCTAGATGAACTCCTACAATTAAAATAAACAAAAAAATTGTAAATAGTTTTTAGGATTATAAGCAGATACTGTGTTACCTAAAATTAAAGTAAAAGTTATGCGATTTTTATTTTACTTACCGCAATGGTTGCATTGGGTTATTTTCAGAACCTGTTATTGCATGGGGCTTTCTTCCAACTGAAGGGTTGTAAAATTTAGAATCGCTGACCATGCGCACAAAAGAAGAACGCATAAAAGCAGAACGTTTTCGCCTTCTACCGTCAGAAATTTCCTAAAATGTGTAATGGAATAATAGAACAAGAAAAACCTGATCGTTTGAACTTGTCGGATAATTTTTAATCCATTTTAAAAAGAAAATAGTATATTAGTATACAGGTAGTTACCTCTTCATTTTCTTTAGCTTCCAATAAACTAGAAGCAAATTCTTTTATAATTTCCCATGCGTACTCTGAAAGAGATTAAATTAAGATCTTCAAATTTATTGGCTAATAAATTTCATCGTTTATGAATTTATAAAACCGTTACGACTTTCCAACACATTTACCAAACTTCAATTAATAAACAGAAAATACGTTAGTTAATATACGGTACGCTCGATTAAGGAATGTGCATCATTGAGATTATTACAGTTGTTTGAAGTGAAACTTCTTTACGCACGGTAGGTTAAGTTCGTTTCATGCGAGTTGCTATGTAACGAAATCGTGCAACGGATGTCCTCGCTCTACTCGGTCACGTAGTGGAGTTCGTAGTGGGGATCGCTTGAGCCGTGAGTGCGCTTAAATGCAACGTTCGTTACAGGCAACTCCGGCATGTATAGTGTAAAATTTAAATTCATAGTGTACAAATAATACCACTAAACCAATTTCTTAACCCCTATCCCGGTATGTTTGTGTGTTTGAAGAAGTTTCACTTCAGTAGCGTGTTGTATAATTGCACGTTGTAATTTTTTTTAAACGGTTGTGTATTCGAAAAAATTAAAATGTTACGAAACTTTATACATTATTTAATCAAAAATTTCTTTTTGAACTTGTACTCTTTTTGATACGTTTAGAGTAATACTTTAGTAAGAGACGGAAGTTTCGCGTAAAACATGAACCTTCAACGGAAGTTAGGTAATAGTCATGTAACAAACTGTTAAAGGCTTTCGCGGCCGGTTGGTGAATTGATGTTATCGTGACTGGGGTCTAAAGGTCGTCTTCGGTTGGATATTCGAGTTTACATCCAGCATTACGGCCCCTAGACCCGAATCAGCGCGGTCTATAGAAATAGGGTATACGTATTTTTAATAGGCTCATTTCCCGCCCGGTAATATCGAGAAATTGACAACAAGGTTTAATTGAATATCATTAGAAGTGGAGCACATAAAAAACTTATTTTTTACCAATATCTTCATCAGTTGCATTTGGTGCCGTAACACAAAATCTGATGACATATTTGTGGCGAACCAACGCTGGGACCATATGAAGTTTTCCCGAAGCGTTTATATTGCTAAGAAGTTTTTCATTTAAGTGATCATCGCCTTTCAAACGAAAACAGACCAGACCGAGCTGAAATAAAATACACGTACAGCTTTATAAATACAAGTATCTAAATCTATTTTTCAAAATTGCGAAAACACATTGACTTAATATAAATTACAATATTGTTATTACAATTTGTCTGAAAATTATTCACTCTTGTTTGATTTTTCGGATTTTCCTACCAAAAAAAGGAGAAAAGGAAAAACGCAGTCTTTATTTCTCTTACCTTAACATCATTACAAATTTCGAACCGCTTATCGTGCTTAACCATATGTTCGAACTTTTTGGCCAAGCGAATATGGTGTCGAATGTAATTTCTCAGACCAGATAAACCACAGCATCTCATAACGAACCAAAGTTTCAATGAGCGAAATCGTCTACTGAGGGGAATCCCCCAGTGTCGATGATCGATTGCAGCATCACTGTAACCGTGTTGTAAATACAAAGGGTCGACTATGAAGGCCGAAGTAAGTCGATTTCTGTCTTTAACCCACATGGTAGAACAATCAAAAGCTACCGTCAACCACTTGTTGGGGTTTGTATTAAAAGAATCGGCATATTCGACTCCTAGATGACAATAAAGTTAGGAAATAGAAAAAGAATCTGTACTTAGAAAGATTGACCAGTAGGTACCTTTAAGAAAACGCCTGAGTTCTGGGCAGATAAATGAATTTCCTGCGTAAGCCGCATCGACATGGAGCCACACTGAGGGGAATTTTTTGCAAACGGGTCCTATTTCAGAAAGATTATCGAACGAACAACAAGATGTTGTTCCAAGAGTGGTTGAAACGAAAAAAGGTACCAAACCCATTGTTTTGTCTTCTTCCATTGCCTTAAGCAGAGTGAAAAACATTGAAAACTGATAAAAATCTCTAACCCAAAACATTTCTAGCGTACCATTTGCAAAGTTTGTCCCCTAAGCGACGATTTTTCATCGGGCTCCAAAATTCTCAGTTTTACAAAACATAACATTGCAGCTTTTTCAACACAAGAGTGAGCTTCTGTTGAACAGTAAGCCATCAATTTGGACAGTAGTGTCCCCTCTTCTACAAGGGGGTGCCGCTGTTTCAAGCGTTTTATAGCATGGGTCCTTGCTGCTAACATACATACGAATACACAATCACTGGCGGAACCCTTAAATAAGAGACAACTTAATTTTTACAATCAAAACCTTGCTTTCTTTTCATGGTTTACCTGCATAACACCTCCACCCTTACTGTCTTCACTCAATGTTAAAAATTCGTCCGGTAAACCTATTGCCTTTCCTAAAATTAAAGCGTTCCAAAAATGAGCATAAACTTATTAAAATGTATTGAAGCTCTTTCTTTTTGTAAATCTTACCAAACCAGTCAAGGACAATGGTTTCCAATTCAGTACAAGCAGGACTTGCTGCCTAAAATAAATACATATACATATGTATTTTTTTAAGTAGGAACACATTTAAAATTGTCAAGGAAGCAGAAAACAATGTTTGCAACCGGATTCTAAAAATAAACAAATGGATACAGTTTAAAAAGCGATTTATTTACCCAGGAAAATCCGATACACGAAATGGCATCGGACAACATGTCACCAAGAATAGACGGAAATGAATTTCCTGATGGAAAGTATGCGTGAAAACGAGGATGTTGCCAATGAGTAACACCTGGCATTATTTTTGATTCGACATCTCTCATAATAACATCCCAATCTTCGGGATTTTCCGGTGCTTCTTTAGAAATTAATTTTTTTAAATAACCCGGTTCCACCGACGGTGTTACCCTTCTCGATTCGATATGTTCCAAATAATTACAAATGTATTCCACCATTTCCTTTCCCCTATTTCGAAATTCCTCCCGGTCCATTTTTTTGAATAACAATTTTCTACAAACTGTACCAAAATTTACAACACTAATAATAATCCCAAAAAAATTTTTTTGTTTGCTTTTCTCAATTATTGATTTTTTATATTGTTTCTTATAACTTTCAAACCAAATTGTTTTTTATTGCGTTAAACTATTGCTCCATAGAAGTTTTAGTAGAATTGATAGATTATTTATTAACGTTTCTTATTTAAGTGATTCTAGTAGAGAACTACAGAAATGAGATTACNACTTCCTACATTATATAATCAAGGATTCATTTTGGCATTTTAAGAGTAAAACTTTAGGAAGGGACGGAAATTGCGCACGCAGCAACGCAAAATCGGCAACGGAAGTTGAGCAGTTGTTATATACATATAATAATGTTCTACTGTATGGATTGGCTTGTTTGCTTGTCCATAATTTTGCTAACCTTGGACAAAACATTGAAAGTTGCGTGAAATAGAACAAATTCGACCGATTTAAGAAATAAGGCTTTATAAAAAACTTAAAAACGCTTAAAAGAAACGTCTTTACCTTGTCATAGTGATCTATAGAAGTAGGATATTCCTATTATCGTAAAAAGAATAATTTTATTTTTAATGTATGAATGATAAAATGAAATATTCAATTATTTTTGTAAGACTTGCAGGCTCATTTCTCACTGAGTAAGACCGAGAAACTGACATTGTTTAATAGAATATCCTTAAAAGTGTTGATAGAATCCATCAGCACATAAAAAACTTAATTTTTTTACCAATGTCTTCATCAGTTGCATTTTGCGCAACAACGCAAAATCTGATGACATATTTGTCGCGAACTGACGCTGGGACCATATGAAGTTTTCCCGAAGCGTTTATATTGCTAAGAAGTTTTTCATTCAACTTATCATTGCCTTTCAGGCGAAAGCACACCAGACCGAGCTGAAATAAAATAAACAATTCGTACACATGTAAATCTTTGTAATACAATACAAGTATTTAAAATCTAAATCTATTTTTAAAAATTGCGAAAACGTAATGACTTAATATAAATTACATTATTATTATTACAATAATGAAAAGTCGCCCTTCATTTGTCTGAAAATTATAAACACTTGTTTGATTTTTTGGATTTGCCTATCAAACAAAAAATGAAAATGCAATCTTTATTTTTTTTTACCTTAACTTCATTACAAATTTCGAACCGCCTATCGCGCATAACCATAAGTTCGAACTTTTTGGCCAGTCGAATGTGGTGTCGAATGTAATTTTTCAGACCAGATATACCGTAACATCTCATAACGAACCAAAGTTTCAATGAGCGAAATCGTCTACTGAGGGGAACCCCCCAGTGTCGATAATCGATTGCAGTATTACTGTAACCATGCTGCAAATACAAAGGGTCCACCACGAGAGCCGAGGTAAGTCGATATCTGTCCTTAACCCACATGGTAGAACAATCGAAATTTACCAACAACCACTTGTTTGGATTTGTATTAAAAGAATCGGCATATTCGACACCTAGATGACAACAATGATGGAACATACAAAAGAATTTGTCCCTAGAAAGATGGATGAGTACCTTTAAGTAAATGTTTGAGTTCTGGGCAGATAAACGCATTTCCTGCGTATGCTGCATCGACATGGAGCCACACTGAGGGGAATTTTTTGCAAATGGGCCCTATTTCAGAAAGATTATCGAACGAACAGCAAGATGTTGTTCCAAGAGTGGTTGAAACAAAAAAAGGTATCAAACCCATTGTTTCGTCTTCTTCCATTGCCTTAAGGAGAGTGAAAAACATTCAAAACTGACAAAAATCTCTCCCCCAAAACATTTCTAGCGTACCATTAGCAGAGTTTGTCCCCTAAGCGATGATTTTTCATCGGGCTCTAAAATTCTCAGTTTCACGAAACATATCATTGCAGCTTTTTCAACACAAGAATGAGCTTCTTTTGAACAGTATGCCATCAATTTGGACAGTAGTAACCCCTCTTCTACAAAAGGGTGCTGCTGTTTCAAGCGTTTTAAAGCTTGAGCCCTTGCTGCTAACATAGTTACCAATACACATTCACTGGCAGAAGTCTTAAATAAGAGATAATTTTTACAATCAAAACCTTTCTTCCTTTTTATAGTTTACCTGTATAACACCTCCACCCTTACTGTCTTCATACAATGTTAAAAATTCGTCCGGTAAACCTATTGCCTTCCCTAAAATTAATATNACTGTCTTCACTCAATGTTAAAAATTCGTCCGGTAAACCTATTGCCTTTCCTAAAATTAAAGCGTTCCAAAAATGAGCATAAACTTATTAAAATGTATTGAAGCTCTTTCTTTTTGTAAATCTTACCAAACCAGTCAAGGACAATTTTTTCCAGTTCGGTACAGGCAGGACTTGCGGCCTAAAAGAAATACATACACATAAAAAATTAGTAAGGTAGCAAAAAAAACTTAGCAACAAATTTCTAAAAACAAATGTATACAGCTTAAAAAGCGATTTATTTACCCAGGTAAATCCCATACAAGCAATGGCATCGGACAACATGTCAGCAATAATAGACGGAAATGCATTTCCTGATGGAAAGTATGCGTGAAAACGAGGATGTTGCCAATGGGTAATACCTGGCATTATTTTTGATTCGACATCACACATAATAACATCCCAATCTTCGGGATTTTCCGGTGCTTCGTTGCATATTAATTTTTTTAAATAACCCGGCTCCACCGTTGGTGTTACCCTTCTCGACTCGATATGTTTCAGATAATTGCAAATGTATTCCACCATTTCCTTTGTCCTTTTTCGAAATTCATTTTGGTCCATTTTTTTTAAATAAGAACTTCGTACAAACTCCACCAAAGTCTAGTACAAATTAAGCGTTGATATAATCCGAAAAGAAATATTTCGCTTGCTTTTCTCAATTACTGATTTATTATTGTTTCTTTATAACTTTTAACTTTTCTATAGCTTGACTTTCCAATAAATCAGAAGCAAATTCTTTTATAGTATCCCATGCATAATCTGAAAGAAATCAAATTAAGATCTTCAAATTTATTGGCCAATAAATTTTATCGTTTATGAATTTACAAAACCGCTACGTCTTTTCATTCTGATCGTAAAAATCCAATATGTTGGCCAAATTTCAATTAATAAACAGTATCTGCTAGTAGAATTAACGTTAGTTATAGTATGTTCTAAGTGATTAGAATGAACTAGAGAAAAGTCTTATTAATCTATTTTGGCTTTTTCAAATTATTGTATATTTGAAAAAGTTAAAATTTCACGTTACTTCCTACATTATATAATCAAGGATTCATTTTGGCATTTTAAGAGTAAAACTTTAGGAAGGGACGGAAATTGCGCACGCAGCAACGCAAAATCGGCAACGGAAGTTGAGCAGTTGTTATATACATATAATAATGTTCTACTGTATGGATTGGCTTGTTTGCTTGTCCATAATTTTGCTAACCTTGGACAAAACATTGAAAGTTGCATGAAATAGAACAAATTCGACCGATTTAAGAAATAAGGCTTTATAAAAAACTTAAAAACGCTTAAAAGAAACGTCTTTACCTTGTCATAGTGATCTATAGAAGTAGGATATTCCTATTATCGTAAAAAGAATAATTTTATTTTTAATGTATGAATGATAAAATGAAATATTCAATTATTTTTGTAAGACTTGCAGGCTCATTTCTCACTGAGTAAGACCGAGAAACTGACATTGTTTAATAGAATATCCTTAAAAGTGTTGATAGAATCCATCAGCACATAAAAAACTTAATTTTTTTACCAATGTCTTCATCAGTTGCATTTTGCGCAACAACGCAAAATCTGATGACATATTTGTCGCGAACTGACGCTGGGACCATATGAAGTTTTCCCGAAGCGTTTATATTGCTAAGAAGTTTTTCATTCAACTTATCATTGCCTTTCAGGCGAAAGCACACCAGACCGAGCTGAAATAAAATAAACAATTCGTACACATGTAAATCTTTGTAATACAATACAAGTATTTAAAATCTAAATCTATTTTTAAAAATTGCGAAAACGTAATGACTTAATATAAATTACATTATTATTATTACAATAATGAAAAGTCGCCCTTCATTTGTCTGAAAATTATA